GCCGCCCAGAGTCCCCCATTGGGGGGAGATGGGCGGGGAGAAATTTAATAAATAAAATAAAAAAATTAAAAAAATACTAGATTGGAATCATTAACATTATTATATTATAATCCTCTTAAATTTACTAGTAAAATTTATGATAATTAGAAATTAAAGTCAAATGTTTATATAAAGCCTAATATAAATCATAAGTTTAAGTAGATGGCTAATTAATTAATTAATTCCCAAACACTCATATTGTTCCATCTAAATGTCCAATTGTTAACATTGAACCCCAAACCCTGTCCAAGCTATACCACTTCTTGATGAAGCTCCAATACTCATCTAAGTCAAGTTAAAATGTGTGTCACAACATAAATAAATCTTAACATTCCCAGATCTATGCATTGTTTAGACAGAACGAAACAAATGTTGGGCCACTAAACTCATTTTTGATCTTGAAAAGAAAGATTTTTATACCTTTGTGAGTAAGCTTTGTTACTGATGCTTATCACAATCTGTTTAAGTGATTTTATCTCCATTGTATTTCTTTTTCTGCTTCCTGTTATTCAGTTCTTCACAACTAATGTCCCCCACGCTGGAACATATCTCATTAGCCACATGGCAATAAATCTCTTGATTTTGATGCCTTTCTGGAGCAGACTTCTCTGTATTTAGCTAAGCAATGTTTGGTTGACGGTGCTGTAGGTCTACAACCTTACCCTAGTAAATATAATTTGGCTTGTGCTTTTTATTAAGGGAAATTAATAAATTGCAGTTAGTTTTCAATTTCTATACTGTTTTCAGTCTCTGCACTGATTAGAGGAAGCTATAAAAACCAGACACAAGTTCCTCTTTTTATTCTTACATGTGCTGACAATTTATTTTAGAGGCATCCAGACTCTCAGTTTCAATGGCCGTTGAAAAGGGCAGTAGCCATTTCTGCATTTTTTTTTCAATGCAACATCCTTTCCTGTCTTTACAAATGGTTGATTTTACCAGAGGCAATCACTGACTTTCCATGCTCTGACAGATATAAATAGATCCCAAGGTAGTATGGCAACTAGGACAGCATTAAATGTTGCTAAATGAGACAAGGATGAGATTTGCGAAGGGCATGTCATGTTTACTTTCTCATTACCAAGCTAGGAGCACTTATGTGCTATGTCATCTTAGATATTTCTACATTTCCTTTTTCACCATCTTCCTTTCTTTTCCATCTTCTTTCCATCTGCTATTTTAGGTCAGCATTTCCCAAAGATTACAAATGTCTCTCCTGAAATGATGCTTTCAACAATTCCTGTTCCATGTAGAGCTGGTGATGAAATGTGTGTTTTCAGTAAGAGGGCTGAACCATTTCTGAGGGTTTAGCACATACAACCTAACTTCCGCTCCACAGTAAAATAAGAAGGGTGGAATTAACTGGCAAGGTGACATGCATATTACACAAAGCATTGTTAGATGCTGCCTTTAACATACCCTTCAGAAAAAATGTCTCTATAACATGAGATTTGTTTGCTAGGAAGATACCTTTCTCTATTATGGGAGAAATTACACATATTGCAGAAAGTACTCTTAAGAGGGGGTGGAAAGTGTTTCAATTCCCATGCATTGAGATCTTCTTGAAGCAAGGGTTAGTGGTTTGGCCACTCAGTGCTAGAAGATAGTTTTCCTAGATGTAATTGCATATATGTAAATCTGTCTTCTGATAGCCTGTTGGTATGATGAAATCTTCCACCCGCTTCTGTTAAAATTAGCTACCATTAACAGGGTTGTGACTTCACTGGAAACCAACATCTGCTTGAGTGATTCTCCTCTGAACATGCCGTGCACTTCAGTCTTTATTTCCTTTGATTAAAGTCTTCAGATGGTCAGGAAGAAGATAATAATTGACCAACTGATAGGCCTTTTCCTCTGCCATCACTATTGTGCCCAAGCAGGCTTCCTACTAACCCAATTTACCTTGGCCATTTTTCTGGACAAAGGCTCCCAATTTTGGGAGCTTTAGCTACATACCATATTTATTTTGCACACTGTTGTGGGCTTCTTTGCAAGGAAGAACAGCATGGACAGAAGAGAAAGTCTATGGAATCTGACTGGAACCCAGTAGCATTCGTATAAATAATGATTAGACTACCAGCTGGGGCTTTGCTTCCTAGTTTTCAGCTTCCCATGTGTCACTTATTATTTAAATTAGATAAATCAATTCCCCCCTCCTCAGGAGGAGGCAAGGGTGCCAAAGGAGACACCTAGGGACACATTGCAGGTAGGCGGGCACCCAGGCACCTCTCTTTCTGTTCACTGGTCCAACAGAAATGCACCAATAGAGTGTAATCCATTCTGTTGGATTCAGACAAGCCTCTGTATGTTCCTGCTAAATGAGACAGTTTGGACTGAGGCTGAGAAGTTGGAATAGTGTACTGTTCAGACTTTAGAGGGGCTGTTTTTACCAGAGGCCCATAAGCAAATTGTGATGGAAGTCTCTGCCCCATGGAATTTACAGACTGGCATTTGACAGTGGGAACTATAGCAGTAGAAAAGAAGGAGTCATGAATGCACAGATGTACAGGAAAACAGAGGTGTACTTAGAATTTTATTTTCTTTTTAGTTGGCAGGTAATGCCTTGCATGCTTTAGAGAGGGAGAGAGGGGAAAAAAGTCTTTGGAGGTGGACATACACATACCCACACTAGTGCTACCACAACTGATCTCCAGTTTTCTACGGACAGGAAATGTTTTTGTGCATTAATTTGCAGATTTTTGGGGAGGGGTGCAAATGATTGCTATATAACTAATGAAATACAGGACAGTGCTTACTCCTTTTATCGTCCTTTCAGGAGGAAAACACCCTAACTTAAAAAGGAAATGGAATTTTGCTCCCCAAATTGTCACTTGCATGGAACTTTTTAGGGCTGTGGTTTTCTCTCCAGTCAGTGACACACATCAGCCAACAGCAGTGCCAGAAACTGGGCTAATGCAGATTTGTCCCAAGAAATGTGTCTCCCTGGGGACACATATCATTGCTTGTGAGGCCTGTCACTTGTCACAGAACTTTAGGCTCTGCATGTTTGTCTGATAGTTATCATCTGGATGAGACAAGATAATGGTGTTAGGGTGACAGCAGCTAATTAAACATCAGCTGAAATCAGAAGCAGTGGCAAGGTGTTTGGATTGACTTGCT